CTTTGTGTTTGTGCTTTTCTTTCTCCATTAATTTCCCTGACCATTCTCTAATAATGTTAGCTCCCTCTAAAATGTACTATCTTGCAATGTATGTTCATACCCCTCCCCCACATTCATCTTTCCCACTTTCCTCCAGACTTCTTCTCTTCTCTTCAGTCAGTGTCCCCCAGGCTCAGACTAACTCCAGTATGTGATATAAATATCCTCAGCATTTAATCTCTGCACTCCTAGTCTTCTTCATGGCCAGAGGTTTCTCTATGCTCTCCTAGTTCTCCCATTTTCTTCCCCTCTAACACCGAACAAGTTTGATCAACTGATAGCAGTTTGTAGGGGTGGGGCGATAGAGGCTATTTACACTAAGTGAAAATAGCAGTATTTCTTAGTGATATGCTATTTAGCCTACACTAAGTGCATATAGCTATAGATAGTTAAAATAGCAGGATATTCTGCTAGTTACTTATTGCAAATAGTGTCAATTATCTGCACCTCAGCATTGTAATACATTATAAAACAGTGTGCAATAATAACTTATTGAGTGTAAATTTGTATTTTAATTCAAATTATTAAATGGATGACACCTTATTGGGACAAAAGCCCTCCCTACACCTAACCCTACCCGGTACTTTATTTTCAAGTTTATTGATTTCCTTAATTTTTATTAAAAATAAATGCTTTTCTGATGTGATTTGAAATTTGAAAAGGGAGAAAAAAAAGTTCACCAAAAGGCAGATTCGAACCCGGGTGGATCACCTCAAAAGGTATGTGATACACACTTTACCATCTACGCCACTGAATCTAACAAATGATGATTGTCTTTTTCAACGTGTTATTTGCACTTAGTGTGAATAGACACCGGGTTTTTTTTTTTATTCCCAACAATTAAACAGTTGCCCACAGAAAAAAACAGGGGGTGCTGCAGCACCCTCATCACCCCCACTTCCCGCGCCTATGGTTCTACCAGTAAAGTCTGAACAACTAACATACTATACAGCATGACCAGTGAAGTCTGATTCTCATGTGAATAACCTTTGTGAGTCAGTTGTATTTAGTGAATCTCAAACATAGGCTGCGTCTGAAATTTCATACTGTCTGTGTAGATACTTCTTTTGAATAAGTTATTGCTTCGCAAATTGCAACCATATAAAAGCATGCTATATAGCCTATCGTATGAACAGTAGAATAATCTGGACATAATATGTGACATGTGCTGGTAAAATGAGTTATTTTCATTTTAATTGATGTATGATTTGTTGGAATCGGACGAAAAATGGCTACACCTGTTTGAAGTTGATAGAGTCAGCAAAGTCAATTTTGAGAAAAATCGAGTTAGTTTTCTGAAGGTTCCATAGCAAAATCACCTGCAACGTTGCATCTCTTCCTCCACTTATTTTCTTAATAATAATTACTATGTTAATAGTCACAATATAGCTTTTTTATATATCTTTGTTATTATAAATAAGAACAGACGCAAAAGAACTGAACAAATGAAAAAAAAATGCATTACCTTTTTCATTTTACATCTAAACAAAAGCATTCAAGAAAAACAAATAGCTAATCAAATGTAAAAATCCCTTTAGTGTGTTCATTACAAATAAATTGATTATTAAAACTACAAAAGCAGTTCAATCAAGAGCAGCGAGTGATTCACTCTTTTCTTTTATTGTTAGATTAACATTAATGAGACGGCCTATATTAAGACCTACTGTAATGCACGGATCTAATATAATGTTACACATCAGATGTTTTTCCCCAACAGTTCCCCAAACATTCACTTAAGACATAACAGATCATGTTTGCGTGAATACTTACTGTAATTCTGTGTATATGAATCGGGATCGCGCTGTCGCACTTTTGTGCACGCGCTTCGGATGACAGCGCGAGAAATGAGCGGAGAAAAGGTAGGCTACTCCTCTCAGAAAAAGTACAAATAATGATCATTTTAGATGTTTAATTACTATTTGGAGCATTGGGATTGCTAGACGGGGGCTTAATGAACTCATTTTTGTGAAAACCTCAAATTTGACTAAAAATCGAAATTTGTAACTTTTTTGCTTGTAACTGAAAATTAGCCCATGCGCATTCCGACTGATTTTGCCAGCACGGGTCACATATATTTGTCATATTGTCATTGTCATGTGACGATACAGTTCATAGAATTTTTGTGACCCCCATCAGCAGGTTTCAATTTCAGTATGCCAGTCTTCATTTGTTCTTCATTTATTAAAGGGGTCATATGATGTTGCTAAAAAGAACATTATTTTGAGTATTTGGTGTAATGCAATGTGTTTATGCGGTTTAAGGTTAAAAAACCACATTATTTTCCACATAATGTACATTATTAAGGAGGCTTGCGCAACCACATGTGACAACCCCGGGCTGGACTCCGCTTCGTCCATGGTGAAAGCCGATCCGGCGATTGACAGCGCGGAGTTGATGTATTTCCTCAGTGACCAGCACGGATCAGCTCGAGGCATGACGAAGCGGATAACATCCTCTTTTGGAAGACCAAACAAAGTAGTTTCACTTTCACAACGAAGCACACAGCGCCTTCACGACATGGCGGCGGCAACAACAATACTACAGCGAGAATAAAAGTTACGCCTTCTTTCTTTGAATATCTCTTTGGATTTGAGACTTTAGTCTTTGCAACTTTACAGATCTTCTTTATGCACCAAGAGCTTGTAACACTCCAAAGAGAAAGGAAAAATTGAAATCGCATCATATGACCCCTTTAACACCTGTCAGATATAATTGAGATCTCATTTGTGATTTTCTTTCTTTCCAATGTTTTTTACGGTTTCTGTTGTTCCTCCTCCACCCACCAGTCTCTCACACTTTCCCTCTCTGTCTTGCTTTCTGCATTTATCTTTACTTCTCTCTGTTTCTCCCTCTCTCTCTGTGCTGATAGATTGTTTGTTGTGAGTTTGCTGACAACATCGGCACACAGACAGCCTGGTTTATTTATCTCCTCTTCTGTCCCTGATCCATCTCCACTGTCACACACGGTCCTGCTCGCCCTAATCACCGCCATCTGCGAGCAAGCGGAAGAAACAGGAAGCCGCAGTCGGACATGTGACCTTCTGCCGCCACTCGCCATGGCTAATCATCGCCCGTGTTATCAGCTGTTGGAGAGTGGGAGTGTGAAGGGAGACCGAGTGAAAAAAAATTATTTCATGATGAGCGACGTTGTTTTAATCGATGCAATTCAAATTTCATAACCTCAAATCTCTTAAAGTGGCCACGCGGCCGAAAAAGGTCAACCATCATAATAGAGACAAGGGGCTTGATATTTCACTGCTTGAAAATGGAATTTAATTTGGATTCTCATCAGACCACAACAGCTTGTTACGCTGATTCAGAGTTCAGTGCTGGACTGTGCGTGAGGTCAACTGTGTGTTAGCAGCCCATTTTATGTCCATAATGTGTCATATTTTTGAGTAAAAGGATATTCAAAGAGAAAAATGGACGTTGAGATTTAATTTTACCTATAAAGAATTGATTGGAATTGGATTGTGAAAAGGTGTTCAAAATTAGAACCGAGTCAGACTTGAATTTGAATATGGACACCGGCTGATTAAGCGACCAGGTTAAGGCTGCTTTTACAGTTTCACGTTTGTTCTTCCATTTTCCCGTCTCTTTCACTTTTCTCAAAGTTTTCTTTCATCCCTGTACCCTTTTTACAGCACTCTGTCTGTAACCTTGTTGAAATAAACAAAAAAAAAGGTGTTCTTTTTTTTTTTTTTTTACAGCAGTTTAGTTACATTTCGGATGCAGTTAAAAAAAAAAAAAAAATGATGTTTAAAAAACCAAAT